GCAGTGTGGGGAGCCAAGAGAGAGAAGTTAATTATTTATTACAATTACTTTTCATGAAGTTATCGACTGTTGTAGCATCATGAGAATGAAAGTCTGTTCTCCTTTGCCATTGCCATAAGCTTTATGATTGAGACATACACTTTTTTATTGCAGAATCCACAGTTCCAGTTCTCCTTACTCTGGTCAGTGATTATTTTGCAATCTCTGTTGGCAGCACTGAAGAAGTTTGTAGTCTTATTTATTTATTTTTGTGAAACTGGGTTAAACCCAGGGCCTTCCTACTGAGCTACATTCCCACCCTCTTTTCTTTTCTTTCTTTCTTTTTTTTTTAATGTTTACTTAGGGACAGGCCCTCATTAAGTTGTCCAGGCTGAATTCCTCCTGCCTCAGCCTCCCAAATGCTGGGATTACTGGCATGTACCACCATGCCTGGCTAGAAGTTTATAATCTTTCTATTTTTTGGTACCAGGAATCAAACTCAGGACCTTGTGCTTGAGGGGCAGGCGCTGTGCCACTGAGCTAAATCCCAGCCCAGAAGTTTATATTCTTGCTGGGAAGTCAGGAGATACACATGAGGAGATAACTAACAATATAAACCAAGTGTCAGGTGAATAATATAAGTATTACTGGCACAGGAGTAATTATAGAGGACCTTGGGGGTAGGGTAATAAGGCTTGAATTAAAGGAAGAGAGACTCAGAAAATGAGAGAGAACTGGGCATTTCTGGTAGTGGGTAAAGGAAAGAGCAAAGGCAGGAAGTAGGAATTCCGAATTGTAGCTGGGAGTGGGTGAACTGTTTCCTGTAGGCCTAGCCAGGGCCTCTGCTTGGCTTTTCCTGAATCATGTGACAGAAAATGAAGAAGCCTTGGGAAGCTTCTTAAATATCAGACTGAGGGATTGAGCCTTAGTCTGAGCAGAGATGCTGTGTGAGGAACACTGGTCCAGCACCCACCTCAGAGCTCGGCTCTGAGACACGAGAACAGAGGTTATGTCATTTAGTCCAGCAGGCGTCTGAAGCACATCTGTAATGAAGTGGGAAGGGCCAGCTGTGATAAGTGAGGGACGGTGCACAGTGCCTCAGGAACCGTAGACCATGCAAGGTCCTATTGGGGTTGGACCAAACCTTCCTTTCTGACAGGTCTTACTTTGTACCTTAGGCTGGCCTTGAACTTGTGGGTCAGCTTCCTAAGTGTGAGGACTATAGGATTATGTTTCCAGATCCTCTACTTCCTTTCTTTCAAGAGTTTTCTTCTAAATCTGCTCAAGAATTAACCTACTGTGGTGGTGCATACCTGTAATCCGAGTGCTCTGGAGGCTAAGGCAGAAGGATTGCTGCACGTTTGAGGCCAGCCTGGGCTACATAGTGAGTTCAAGACCAGCCTGAACTACATAGTGTGACCCTGTCTCAGAAAAATGGAGAGAGAGAGGGAGGGAGGAAAGAGAGAGAGACAGACAGACACTGGGGTGGGGGGCGGAGCGCGCACACCGTCAACTCTGAGGGCCACTTACATAGCTGCTCGCCATCCCTGGGCTCCTTCTTTACTTACCCTTTCATTTTGCCTTAATCCCAACTTCTGCCCCCATCCTGCCTTTGGAGCTACTCTTGCTGAGTCATTAGTGAATTCCTAGCTGCTGATAGAGTTATTTTTCCAAGTCCTTATCGTCCTTGTTTTCTCTGACACTTGACATTTTAAGACCCATTTTCTTTTGGTTTCTGTCACATTCTTCTTGGCCTCCTTTCCCAGTCCTTTCTCCGACTCCCATCAAGGGCTTCTCTTTTACCAGTCAGTATGCTAGTCTTGGTGATTTTCAAGGTCTATCCTTTGTCCTCTCATAAGAGCTGTTATTTTGTTGTGTACTTACTATGTGCCAGTCACAATATTAAAATGCTTCACACAGATTATTCTTAAGCCTTGCAACAACCCCCAAAAGATAGACTTTTGCTTCTTCCTTGGTATATAGAGAAATCAAGGCTTAATGAGTCTAATTTTCCTAAGGTTACATGGTAAGTGTCAGAGCTGGGACTTGCATGTGAGCCTGGTTTATTATACAGGTAAAGCCAGCTGTCACCTGTGGACCCCAGGCTCCTGCCATAGACTCTCTAGCTTCCAGCCTTCGTGTCCCGTGTACGCTGTAGCTAGCTGTTTCTGCCTGCCCCAGCTCTTCATCTTGCTCTCTCCAGCCCTGTAGGTAGCCTGACCATCGAACAAGTCATCCAGGCCATAAGCTTAGGCTTGGTCCCAGTTGTGCCTCTGCTCCCCTCCCACTCCTCCACACCCAACTATTGCTTCAGCCAGTCTTCTCCGCTGTTCTTAATTTCTCTGGTATTCACCTCTTGGAATGGCCACAGTCACTTCCTCTGGTCAGGCTCTTCTCATCTCTCCTGAACTATTGCTGCTTTTCTCTTCATTTCTGTCTTTCCTGCCCTCTCACCTCTAGGTCCTCCTGCACAAGGCCGTCAGAGTGATCTCTCTTATGCCCTGTTCTGATTGTGTTGTTCTCTGTGTTAAAACCTGTCAGTGTTTCTTGACAGTGTGACTTCTGGGGCTAAGGCCCATTTTTCTTCTCCTTCTCTTTCCAGTCTTTGCAAGTCTCTTCACTTCTGCATACTGCCAGGGTTTGTGGTTCGCTAGGGGCTCTATGTGTGTCCCATGTTTGTCCTTTCTAGAGCACCCTTTCTTCCTGCTTCTCTGAGAAATATCTTTATAGCTCATCCAAAAGATAAATAAACAAGTAAAAAACATCGTTTCAGAGAATATCTTGGCTTCTAGGCCTTCACTTATTTCCAGTCTGTCTTAGAGGAGCTAGAAATTCCCTTTTTATGTTCCCAAAGTGCCTTGTGTGAAGCTCAGCACATTGTGTAATAGCTTATCCCTGTCTGTGTCCTTTCAGCTGGCCTGCCTTAAAGGCAGAGATTTCTCTCTCCTTTTTATTCTGTGGTGTTGAGCATATTGCCTGGGACATGGTATAGCAGCTGTTGAATGAACAGCAGTAGTGTTCTAATAGTGTACTGTAGTTGGACATGATCTAAGGTTAGGATTAAAGATTTGTGCATGAGAATGTTGGTTAAAGCTAACAAGTATGTAATACTAGCATCTTGATGTGTATACTGTCAATTTATAAAGTACTTTCACAAATGTTGTATCTCATTTTGTTTTACCCTAAACTACTCATAGTGACACAGGCTTGTAGTCCCACCTATTTGAGAGGCTGAAGCAGGAGGGATTACATCAGAGTTGAATATTGAAGATGGCAAAACAAACAGACAAAACAAAATAAAAAAGGCTGGGGAAGTAGCTCAGTGCTCCTTGGGCTCACTCATTAGTTCTGCGGAAAAAAAAAAAAAAAAAAAAAAAAAAAAAAAAA